TAATGCCAGCCACAACACTGTGAATTCCTCAAGGAGGTGCCAGTCATCCTCTTATCTCTCCCTCGCGCCTCAGGAGATGAAAGAATCTCCCTGAGTCAGGCCTTCATAATTCCATTCCATCACATCTGAGCAGCTAATAACAAAGTATAAACACATTAAACAGACAATGAAAAGCAATAAAGGCAATTTGAGATCCTTAACCTTTCATCCTCCATATGTGTAGCCACTTATTATGTAATCTGATCAATAAAGCTTTGTGTGGTAAAAAGTTTGTAGACAGATATTAAATCCAGATGGGATGAATTCTGCAGAGTTCTTTACTGCAATCCATGATTTGACACCACTACATAATTCCAGTACAAATGTGACAGCTTTAATTGCTTACTTGTTTCAGAGAAGGGTGATTCAAAGTCATCCAAGTTTTCACGTTCATTTTCTAATTTCTATGGAAAAATATAACAGAATTCTTAAAAAAAAACCCTGTAACTTCTAGCATTAATTTCAACATGTAATGAAAGGGTATTCAAGATCAGTTTTCATAATAAAAATAGTGTAGATTATTAAGAAAAGGGGTCTGAGGAATCTGCAGGAAAATGTATCAAACTTCAGACAAAGCATAAATTAAGCAAAACTAAATGTGCTATTGTGCAGCATACGGATAGCCATCCTTTCAGGAACTCCAAGAGACCATGTTAATTCAGTCCAGCAATGTTTATTAGCTACAACCTCTAGCAAGAATCTTCCCAGACTGAGACCCCAGCTCCCTAGTAATGCCAGCCACAACACTGTGAATTCCTCAGGGAGGTGCCAGTCTCATCCTCTTATCTCTCCCTTGCGCCTCAGGAGATGACAGTGTGTGACATACCGAGACATGCCATCAAACCATGTTGCTGTTTTTGGTCTCCATCCTCCCTACATCTTTCAACAATCTCTCTCCTTCTCTTGTCCCACTCTTGTTGTTTGGGTGACTACTGTCCAACCATGCTGCCCTGGCAAGTCCTTCGGATGGAAAAGAAGAAGGAGGCCCTGTGGATGAGCCCAGCCCAGGCCTCACTGCTGAGACACAGTAAAATAAACACTCTGGGGGCAGCCACCAGAAAGTGCATCAGAAGATCTTGAGGAAGAGTTCATATCATCTCTGTCCAAGGAGTCTGCCGCCATTCTGCTAGCCAGCCATTTTTAAGCCATATTCTGCGGAACTGAAATGTTTGCTGGTGAGGAGATCAGAGTAATGGGAAACAACTCATTATCTCAGGGAGGCAAAAGAGAGGCTTCCTGCTTTCCTCGGATCTTCTCAGAGGATGGATTATGCCTCCTCTTCAGAAAAGGAGGAAACCCCAGGCAGCTCAGGCTTCAGCCAGATACAGGCACGTATCTTGGAAGCTTCTGAGCTGCTGGGACTGATTTTCTCTGAAGTACAGGCCTCTCACGGGTCAGTCAGCACTGGTCTAAAAAATAGGTTCTTCAGGAATTAATGCTCCTAGAAGATTTAACTAGCAATAGCTAAATTTGGGTGCAATTTTGCTTTCATATCTAAGCCTTCTATTTCAGTCCTTCTGACATTGGAAGCTTCTGCTTTGTTCAGGTACTTGAGGGGGACTGTTGGACTTACTCTCAGGTCCAAATATGTATTTTAACTCTCCAATAAAGTAATCTTTGTCTCTGTTTTTCAATCTACTTAACTCTTAAGGTAGTAAGTTTTGGGAGCACTCAGTGCTCGACTTTAAAGAACCCGCTGAGTTACAATATAATACAAATTGGGGAAAGGCCCAAAGTGGCAGGAATGTTTGACTGAAAGTACACATTTAAGCATATATAGCATTCTTGACCTGTTCAGTATGGAGAGCAACATGGATATCAGCTAACTGTAATGCAAAATCTCCATTTTAATTGACAGGTCTTTTTTTCATCCTTTGCTACCATTTCATTGTAGGAAAGTCAGCCTACCTTCTCAAGAAGTTTGAGCTTCAGACGGGTCATGTGATCAGCCACATCAGAGTCCATCACTGGGAAAAAATTCCAAGGTAATGTGTGGGTGGCAAGCTACATTATTTTGAATATTGGTTACCTTTTTCTCTCTCCAGCTTGTTACAATTTTCTATGTATTTTTTCCTCAGCAAGAGCTTCACGCTGAGGTTATAAGGGAAACAAACCTCTTATACCATGTCTTTTGCAATGTACACTCAACATGGTTGCTAAGATATTGTTTCATTTGAACAACAGCAGTATTTTCTTCAGTCTGCTGACTCTTCTAGTGCAAATTCAGCATGCCCAACCCTGTGTGTTGCTAACACCCTCCTCTGAATAGCTCTGTTAAGCCTAGGTAATGAGTTAGCTTCATGTCTGTTGGTCACAATTTAAACAGAATTCATTTCCAAGGACTGGTACAGTACTCACCTGGGTCATGCGATATTGAGATCACTATGACTTAGGACTTGTAATTCGTTTCAGTGTATAGCCAATCACAGATAAAATATAAAGAAGTCCTGAGCAACAAAGTACACCAATTAATATTTAAAACATTGTTGCTTCAAAAAGGATATTTTCTCATATGGCCTGAATTAATTGTTTTTAGCCCAGCATAGCTACCAATTATAAATTATTGCAAAGAAGGTCAGGGCAGAGTATGTGAAAAGTACTTTCCTATACAGTATTATCTGGACTCCTTTCAGTCAGGATTCAGGCCAGGATATGGGACTGAGACAACACTGATCACACTCTTGGATGACCTCTGGTGGGAGTGGGATGGCGGGTAGTGCATCCATCTTTGCTCTTCCTGGCCTCTCAGTGGCCTTCAATACCACTGATCATGGTATCCTTCTGGACTGGCTTTGGGGATTGGGGGTGAGTGGCATGGTATTATGCTGGTTCTCCTCCTTCCTCTAGGGTCAGTTCCAGTTGGTGGTGATAGGAGGGGAGAGGTCCAGCCCACAGCCCCTACTTTGTGGGGTGCTGCAGGGCTCGGTTCTCTCTCCCCTCTTATTTAACATCTACATGAGGCCACTGGATGAGCTGATCCGATGGTTTGGGGTGAGATATCATCAGTATGCCGATGATACCCAGCTTCATATCTCCACCCCAGGCTGCCTGAGTGATGCCATGGATGTCCTGTCTCAGTGCCCGGAGGCTGATGGGGCGCAATGGGCTTTGGCTCAACCCAAGCAAGACTGAGTGCCTTTGGGTGCTTAGGCCTTCCAGTACCAAGATTTTTCCACCTCTGGTCTTGGATGGGGTGGCACTGCCTTAGACGGACCTGGTGCACAATCTGGGGGTCCTCTTGAACTCATGGCTTCTGCTGGAAGAGCAGGTGGTAGTTGTGGCTAAGAGGGCCTTTGCACACCTTTTGAGTTGTGCGCTAGTTCCACCCTTTCCTAGACCAGGAGGGTCTGCTCACTGTCACTCATGTCCTCGTGACCTCCTGTTTGGACTACTGCAATGCACTCTACATGGGGCTGCCTTTGAAGAGCATTCAGAAGCTTCAGCTGGTACAGAATGCAGCTGTCTGGGTTGTAAACGGTGGCTATTTAGCACATGTAACAGCACTGCTTCAGAGGCTGCATTGGTTGTCCGTGTGTTTCTGGGTGCAATTCAAGGTGCTGGTTGTCACCTTTAAAGCCCTTCATGGCTTGGGACCGAATTACCTGAGGGACTGTCTTCTTCCAGTTGTTTCTACCTGTCCAGTCCAGTCCAGTCCAGTCCGGCAGGATAAGCATGCTCCAGGTCCTGTCAGCCAAGTAATGTCAGCTGGCAGAGACCAGGAGACGTGCCTCTTCTGCCATAACACCTGCCCTCTGGAACATCCTCCTTCCTGAGATTAGGATGGCCCCAACCCTGCTGGCATTTCGGAAGGCCTTGAAGACCTGGCTATGTGCCCAGGCCTGGGGTCCTAAGTGTGTGAAGGGCCCTGTTTCCTTGTTATGTTGACACCAGTGGATTATAATATCGCTTGGCTGCTATTTGTATTTAGTTTCTTTTTTGTATTGTGTTTTAACCATTTGTTTTTATGATTGTTCAACACCCAGAGTCACTGGTTTGAGATGGGCGACTATACAAAATGAATGAATGAATGAATGAATGAATGAATGAATGAGAAAGAAAGAAAGAAAGAAAGAAAGAAAGAAAGAAAGAAAGAAAGAAAGAAAGAAAGAAAGAAAGAAAGAAA